CGACGGGACCGCTGCCAGAAAGATGTTGGGGGGGAGGGGAGTCTGCTGGGAGGGGGCTAGGCTCCCGCTGGAGGAGGAGCGGGAATGGGGGCGCGAAGGCAGGGTGGCCCTGCGGGCGAAAACCCCGCGTGGGAGGGGCGATGGTTTCGAGGTAGGGCTTCGGGGAGAGGAAGCGAGAGCCGTTTCCTGCCTTCAACAAGACCCTCCTCTGAGGCCTCCCCCACCAGTTGCCCAATAGTGACACACCTCCGCTCCTCCCGCGGCTCCTATTTCACCAGCTCCTGCAGTGACAGCTGGAGGGCCTAAGGGATGATGTTCTTGCTCCCCAGCCTGGTCTCCCACCCACCGCCCTCTCCCCAGAGAATGGATTTATCCCTGACCACCCCCCCACCCCACCCCCCGGGGGCAGGATCACTGAAGGGCTGGGGCTGGCTCTGAGAGACCCGCCAGGTGAGCGGGGTGCTGCTGACTCCTGGAGCTGCCCAGAGCTTGCCGAAATGGCTCCAAGATCTTCCCCTTGGGCCACCTGTAAAGATCTCTTTGCTGCCTGAAATCCACCTTCCCTCCTTCCCCTTACCTGTACCGGGGGACATCACCTTTGGAGCTCATGGGGATAGCTGATGGGGAGAGGTTGGGCAGGGCCAGGGCCCAGGTGGAAGCTGCCTGTGAGAAGAATTTGAGCAAGGATGTGTTTTCTCTTTAGGGTGTGTGGCCTGATCCCCAGGAGGAGCTACCCGGGGTTGCCATGAGAGAGACCTTGGAGGCCCTCAACTCCCTGGGTGAGCCAGCAGAACTGAAGGAACCTGAGGTGGGGGGTGGGGATTTAGGGATCCCCTGGACTTGTTGCCTCTCTGCAATAAAGAAGGCAGAGCCATCCTCAGAGACTGCAACCTCAAGACTCCTGAGACCCCTGGAACCTTTAGGGCAGCATGCTTTTGGGCTTCATCAGGGTGTTTGTGAATGCCAGGCCCACTCTGGAGGCTGTGCTAGACTGTATATGCACATGTGTACTCAAACATCAGGATATTTCATCCACTCCATTCTTCACCTGGCCGTGACAACATAAGAGGCTGGGGAGCCTGGCTGTCCCCTTGTCCATGCTGGCTAGAGACCCTTCCTTTCTGAGCAGGTTGGGAAAAGCCCCTTGGGTGGGCTGGGGAGGGGAAGAGCCCTGGTCACCTCTTCTGTACTGGATTCTTTACTTGGACCCATCCTTCTACCTGTAACAGGATTCTCTGTGGGACAGCCGGAGATGGCCCCCCAAAGTGAGCCTGGGGAAGGGTCCCATAATGCCCAGAAGCAGATGTGCCCTCCCAGGGAAGAGACAGCACTGGGCTCCTGTTCGGGTAAGTAGGTGGGGATCCTGGGTGGTGGTTCAGGGCGGAGTCTTCCCTTCATCAAGTATTTGTTGAGCACCTGCTAAGTGCCAAGTGCCATTCTAGATATTTGGCATACCTTAGTGAGCAAAAAGACAAAGACCCCTACCTTCCAGCAGCTCAATCCTAGTGAGGGCAGGGAGTCAACAAGCAACCAATGTAAAAATAAGCACACTTGTAAACCCTGTTAGGATATGTGCTGGGGCACAGATAAAGCTGGGTGAGGGGGCCTGAAACTGCTGTAGGTGGGGGTGGAGCCGCATAAGCCTAAATAGGGTGGTGAGAGTAAGTCTCATAGGGAAGCTAAGATGTGAGCAAGATTTTAAACAGGGAAGTGGCTAAACAGATACCAGGAGAAGATACCTAAGGAAGGAGTGCACCTGGCTTTTTGACATCCTGATCTCCAATGATTTGCCATGAAACTGGGGTCCATCTGGTGGCTGGATATCCCCAGCCCTCCCCCATCCCCAGCCCTCCTCCTCCGAGTCTCATGTAAGCCTCAGGGCAGGGCCTGTCCTTGCTTACACACACATATTCCAGAAACTCCTCACAGTTGTGCTTGAAGGAGCCTGAGGCTGCCCTGGGCCCCTGGGAATTCAGCCCCTGCAGGTATACCTTGAGCTGAGTGCGTCCCTGCCTGTGGGGCTGGGACTGGGGTTACAAACTCCCCTGCTTCCTAGTACCATTGGGGCCCTCGGTCCATCTCTGATGTCTGCAGTGGCTTGAGGTGGCCTGTTCTCTGCTAGGGCACGAGACCCCCAGACTGGAGGAAGGCGCCCACCCTGAACAGGCTGAGGTTCCCTGCAGCAGAAGCCAGGCATGCACACCTCAGAAGGCAGAGCCTGCTAGCTCCTGCCCAGGTGAGTCTTCCCATCTCTCCATCCCACCAGGGGACCAGGCAGAGGGAACAGGTGCCCTGCAAGCTCCAGAGCTGCTACCTGGTGTAGTGGCACTCCAGGCCCTGGCACCTTTCTGCTCCTAGAGCTTAAGCGTCCAGAGGGGATTCTGCAGCCAGAGACAACGGGAATCAGAGAGGCTGGTCCAAGAGAAACACAGCATCATGTCACTGTCCTCTGGAAGTCCTAACTTCCCCCCTCTCCCCCAGTCTAAGCACAGACTTGTCAGTGGCTTGAATTACAATTCTTGTGAAGACATACAGCATTGCTCAACCTTTTCATTGCCTCTCCCCAGACATGTTCCCTCCCCCACATCTCCACTGAGCTCAGTGGTAGCCAGATGCTCTGAATCTGTTGTGTTTGCCTCATCTCCCCCATGCCCAGGGCGATGGAACAGTTGATTCTCTCTCCACAGCCCTGCTCCTCACTTCCTTCCACTAACACCAATCTTGTCATCTTTTGCCTGAAAGATGTCATGTATTCCACAAGGATTTATTGAGTGCCTACTACGTCCAGGCTGTTAGGTTGAGGGGAAAGAGATGGACTGTAAAGCTACACAGACCTGTTTGAATCCTTGTTTCACATGCCCTAGCTGAGTGATCTTGGATCGGCCACCTCACCTCCAGGAACCTCAGTTTGTTCACCTGTAAAACAGGGTAATTTCATGCTTGCTGTGAAGGCTTATAACAATGTATGCACAGCACATCATCTGTAGTTGGCACTCAATAAATAATGGCCATCCTAATTTTTTTTAAAAACCCACGTTTTTATTGATTTTAGAAAGAGAAGGAGGGAGACGTATATAGAGATAGAAACATGGATGAGAAAGAGACATGGATCTGCTACCTTGTGCATGCCCCCTCCTGGGGATCAAGCCCACAACCTGGGCACGCGTCCTGACCTAGAATGAACTGGGGACCTCTTGGTTCATGGGTTGGCACTCAACCACTGAGCAGGACCATCCTCATTTTTATTAGATTCATAAAGACACATTTTTATTAGGTATATAGGCAATAGAACACCAGACGTCTGCCCTCCAGAAGCTAAAATCTAGCCGGCAGTAATGTGAGCTAGAATAAAGAATTAAATAACAAACCATGTCACAAGTGAGTGTTAACAGTAAGCGCTATGGGGGTTTTTATGAGATCTTCATGCATTGGCTTTGTCAGAGATTTTTATTTGTGCTGCATTTTGAGATGAGGGTAGGTGGAAGATGGGAAAACATTCTAGGCTGAGGAGAGACTTCAGGGCAGGACAGTTGACTTGTGACTGGAGTTAGAGCAGACCAGCCTGACTAAAGTGAAGGGCGTATGCCCGGGAGTCATAAGAAAGTTGCACTGAGTTGGGGTGCACCTCAGATGCAGCTAGAACTTTATCCTGTTAATAGGGAGCCACGGATGGTTCTTGAGTAGAAGAGTGGTGCAATAAAAATGAAAGTAATATCACAACAGGATAAATAATTGAAACTGACAGGGATAAATGTAACTGTGACAGTCCATGTGCAACATAACCAAGGCTCAGACTATTAGAGACTTTTAGAGTCAGACAGGAACTCGGATCATGTGGTTCAGTAGTTCTCAAACAAGAATCACTTTGGGAGCTGTAAAGAGAGAGCATAAATTCATTGCCCTGTTCCCATAGATGCATTTGGTAAAAGTTCCCCCAGAGATGATGATGGGGAACAGGTTTAGGAACCATGAACTAGTCCAACCCTTACACCTAAGCAAACTAACACACACAGCTCAAAGAGGGAGCAAACAGGTAAGTTAACCAAAGTCACACTGCTGGTCAGTGGTGGAGGACAATCCAAGTGGACACTCTGAGTCTGGGCCTTCAGCTCCTTCCTCTCTGTTGGGCCATCCCAGTGTCCAGAGGGGCCAGGTTCCAGGAAAACCCACCTGGAACCTGCTGCCCCAGAGGTCCTCCCTGTTTCTCCAAAGGTTAGCACCATTCATTGGTTCCCTGTACACTCAACCTTCCTCTTTCTTAACTGGGATCTCCCGCCTGGCTGTGGAAGCAAGAATGAAGGGAGGTGGAGGGGAGAGGGCTTGAGAGACAGCAGGAAGGAATGCAAAGTCCCCTGTGGAAAGTCTGAGAGCAGGGGAGGCTCAGAGGTGAGAGTCAAGGTTCCGAGGTTCTGAGCCCAGCCGTCGGGAGGAGGCTGCAGGTCTCACAGTAAAGTAATGGGGATAGGTCTGGGAAGGGGGGTGTTGGTGTTGGGTCATAAGCCTGCTGAGCTGCAGCCAGTTTTCAGGACTCTGCAGGGGAGCTGCTCATCTGCAGATGAGAGACTGTGGTTCCAGGTAGGAGCCTCCTGGACAGGAAGATCTGGGGCAGCTGCCACGGGCATGAGAACCCAAAGGGAAGGAAGCCCCAGGTCTGAACTTTGAGCAACATTCCAGTTCAAAGGCAGGGAACGTGCTCTTATCGAGGCGGGCCAGCCTGGGAGAAAGGCCCCTGGAAGGGGGTTCACCAGCATCCTGTCTGCAGAGAGGGAAGGAGGAGGGCTGAGGGGTGATCTTTGGATTTGGTCATTCCCAGGAAGGTTCCAGTGAAGTGGACAGAGCAGAAGCCAGGAAGCAGGGCTCCAGGAAGTGGTCATCTATTGGCCGATAAACGTGGGGCCTAATAGACCTGTCTTGTTTTGGCTTTTCAGGAGACGAGTGGGTGATCCGAAAGGTGAAGGTGGAAGAAGAGGTCGAGTGGCCCCAGCACCTGTCCTTACTCCCCGGTCCCTTTCCCGCACCTGACCTGGGGCCTCTGACCGCCGCGTATAAGCTGGAGCCGGGCACCCCAGCGGCCCTGGGTGGGCTCGCGCCCGGCGGGTGGACCCCGGCCTCCGAGAAGCCCTACGGCTGCGGGGAGTGCGAGCGGCGGTTCCGGGACCAGCTGACCCTGCGGCTGCATCAGCGGCTGCACCGCGGCGAGGGCCCCTGCGCCTGCCCGGACTGCGGCCGGAGCTTCA